ACATTCTAGACAAGCTCCCAGCCAGAGGCTGGTGCCTGCCCGGAGCTAGGGAAGCCAAGGCCCAGCAAAACCAAAGCCCAGACCCCTCAACCCTAGTTGCTCAAAGCCCGAAGCAAAAGACCCCAAGCATGAATCTTCCATGGGTCTGCCCAGCGGCTTCCATCGCCGAAGGCAGCAACCAGGTACCTTCTGCAAGGGCAAGGACCGCCCAAAATGTCTGTACATGAGCCACATATCATGATCAACCACCATACAGAGGAAGCTAGCTGCAAGATACGGCTCTTCCTTCGACGCCCAGTGGCCCAACCCCAGCCCTAAACCATACATGTCGCCTGCCAGCAGATGCGTGTCATAAACTGACAGGCAAGCTGTGGAACACTCAGTAATTGTGCGTCCTCTCTCGGGAGATCCCTTAGAAAAAACCGCAGCTTCCGTTTCAATTTCCAGTTTCTTTTACCCTTTGATGCTCCCTTCTTGTGGCTATGCATGCCTAAATCACCCCTACATGACCCCAAAATAACACTGATATAGCCTCGTTAGGATGATTCCATGGAGTGCCGAACTTGAGCAGGCTATCAGCATGAGTTGCCACTTCATCACATAAAGAAGGATTTGGTGGTTTCTCAAAATTAGGGGTCCCAATCATGAGGACTATAGAATTGTGGTCCCCTACATGGTGGGGCCAGGAAGCTGAAACTTGGCCTATAAGTAACTTCCAAGGGTAGAAAGTAGCATTGTAATTAATTCTAGTGATGGGATTTGTAGTACAGGTATGTAACTCGTGGGCACCCTTGTATTTAGGGAATATACCGAGGCTTGGGCTTCTAGAGTCCTGCCCACGTGAACTCCAGTCTAAACTCCGAGTATCCCGCTTAAGAACCCCTATAATACTCCCTTGTAATATTCCCCTATACAAGAGTTTAGACCCTGAACCCTATACATAAACCCGTTCAAGGCGTTTAGACTATAGCCCACATGAAGTCGCCTGTCTTCCTAGGAGGGTAGCAATTCAAATGAGTTGTCAAGCTCAGCCGAAACTTTTGCTCATGAGGAATAACTATGGGGCAGTTCCAACTTGGTAAGTCCGGAAAATCTTCATTGAGGTCTCGAGATTACTCGTCGGTTATTGTTCCTGCCAGCGCTTCTTCAGAAGGAATCTGCATCTTGGAGGCAGGGTGCTTGCCTACATCCACGCCCTGCAGGCCAGGCAGGAGACTCTTGCAAGGCGCTTTCTGCAGCTAACCCCCTCATGGAACGTGGGCCTGAACACCTAGACATCGGCGCCACATCAACTGCCAATCAAAACCAGAGCCCAGCAACATGTGTAGTTTAGGTGAGGACCGCCTTTTGCGACTGCATGTTCTATGCGGTCGACATGCTTGTCTGGAACCCTCAAAAACCTGCGCAACAGGTCCGTATATTGTACGAATATCAGCATTTTTTCGGTCAGCACTAGTGGTCAACCTACATGCCCATGCAAACAAAGATCCCCGATAAGGAGCGCTCATTTCGAGGAGCTCTGCCGTGTGCTTTAAACGAAAAATGCGACTGGTGCATTCGTCCTGTAGAGAGCTACGACGTAAGGACACGAGACATCTGAACCCCACCGGTTGTACTATTGGAGACAGCTGACATTGGAGTCTCAGTAGAGTCGATCCACGCCCCAACTGACAAAGGGGCGTGACGTTTCACACAAAAGCTTGTTCGCGTAAAAGACGCCTAACAAGCGTTTCGCGAATGATGTTGTTGCTGCAGGTCTTCTAGGCCCAAGCAAAGATCTTGAGGTGAGAAGACAGTTCTTCCCTCTGAATTTGCCAGCTTGTGCAGCCACCCTGTCAAAAGTTCAATTTAAACCAGACTTGGCTGCAGCGCAGCTCAGTCCACTCTAGATGCTAGGGTGCTCTCCGAAACAGGCCGGGGGTGTCTTGAGGGGACTACTGTGAAAGTGCCCACATTCCAGCAACAGTTGCAGCTGTGGTTAAATTTCTACTGCAGAAGAATCCCATTTCCACATTTTTCAGATCTACGCGCAACCTCTCTCAAGACAGGGCCTGAGATGTAGCGTCGACTCCCGTGTTCGAGACAGAATCACCGAGCTACATTGCAATCTCAGAGTATGTATACTGGAAAAGACTTAGTGGTAAACCCTTAACCTTTAACTCACAAAGGGGTATTATGGGGGTTATATAGGGACTATTAGGGTATATATTGGGGTTCTATAGGGATGATGGAAAACAAAATGAAAACTACTATAAGGGTTTTCGGAGTCACCGACTTGCAAACCATGCCTCGCTCAGCGGACCTATTGCGATCGCGCAAGCAAGACAGCTGTGTGAAATCAGCCAGCTGGGTGTCGGGGATACATCTAGATTTGAGATCTTTCGGCTATAGGGCTTTGAAATTGCAAGGTTCCGGAACGTGAGGTCGCCAGGGTCCTGGTACTTTGACACTCTCCATCAGCTTTCTTGCATTCTTCTGGCCCTACAGCCCTGCTCCTGCTCCAGGGCTTCGCCAGCCCGGGTCTAAACTATTGTTTCGGCCTAATCCAGGCAGGCAGCTTGAACGTGAGTAGTACCCTATACACTTCTCCGATACAGGCATGAAGATTGTTAGGGAGTGGCTTCGTCCTTTGCAAGCCACCCGCCTGCGAGCTACGCAGAAAGTAGTCAGTTTCTAGGCCACGGCAAGAAATTTCGTAAGCGGGAACCTGTGCAAAGAACGCCTCTGGCTTGCCATGTACTTGATAGACAGCAATCCGGTTTCCCATGAAGCTACCCGCAGTTCTTGAGCTGTAATATGGTACACTTCTGCAGCCCCGAGACAGGACGCATAAGTTGAAGAAATGCCCCAATTCTTTTAATCTACCTGCACTCATCTGCTGTAAAGGACCTACCAACAAATCTAAGTGCATTCTATGCATATCCCAACATACCCTCTGTACCTTCTCTCTGGCACATGTGTGTGGCCATGCTCTGGCATCTTACGTGTACTCCTTCGCACACTTGGTCTTCTCCCTGCCATGATCCTAAATACTGCGCTCCAATGTTTCAGAACCTGAGCTGCTCATGTGCAAGTCACGCTCAGAAGGGGCCGCAGTTGATCTGAAAGGAGCCCACACAAACCTCCTCCGAGAAGTCCTGGGTGACAGTGCCCAATCTTCTGAATTACCAATACATGAAGTAGCCAAGCAGCATGAACAGGAAGAAGATGACAGCGGTGATGAAAATGGCGATAGCAATGATGATGGTCATGCGGGCGGTGATGGCGGTGGTGATGGCGGTGGCTGCGGCTGCGGCCGCGGCCGCGGCGGTGTTGCGGAACGGTGGTGTTCATGATGGCCGCAGCGGCGGCTGGTGTGGATGATGATGATGATGATGATAACGGTTGTAATGACAAGGATAATAATGGTGGTACTGACGATAATGATGATGACGATGATAACGATGATGACGATCATAATGATAATGAGCACGGTCATGATGGTGATGGTAACGATGGTGACGATGATGATACTGACGGCTGTGACATCAACGATTATGGTTGTTTGCTCCCGAAACATCCCCTGCCTCATGCCTCAACAGAGTGCCCGCATTGCGTGTTGGGTACCACAATGCTACACATGCGGCTTTTGGCAGTGTACCCTGTACACGTCGTAGGACTCCACACTGAACCCTAAACTCCATGACCAAAAGCCCCGGACGATTCAGCAAAGGGTCCTCCAAGCTCTCCGGTGTCCACCCCAGCTGAGACAGCGGCTTAGCAAGACCGAGCCTGAGTACATGAAGGCTTCTTGCTTCTGGTTTTGAATGTGATGAAGAGGCCACATGAATTGCCATAGAACAATATAGAGCATTGGGATATAGCAGGTGTTGTCGCATGAGGGCTAGGAAAATATGTGTAATTGTGCAGGCTTCTACATGGTTTTGGTTTATAGGAGACCGAGGGCTTAAGGGGGTTTAGGGTTTAGGTTCTAAGTTTTGCTGGCTTTGGGATTCATGCTGTCTACCTAGATTCCTACACCCTGCGCAGTTTTTAGGATACCTAACTTCACGTCCAAGTAGCACTTGCTGTATACGAAATTAAGTGCCCTAAAGCCGGGTAAGGGTATAAATGTCTAGTTTTAGTCACAAACATCTTGAAGGGTGTGCCGTTCAGGCCTTCAGCCCTTTTCAGTGAAATTCCTTTCGTGTGCTTCGTGCGCGTTGTGTTGTCTACACCGGCAAGAAGAACAAAATCAGGCTCTATTTTGGAGTCACTTGTCTTTGGAAAACTACTCAGACAGTACGCCACGCCGCCTGATGAGGTTTGCCAGGCTCCAGTCCCACCATTCGAAGTCAACCCAATCGGAGTCCTCTCCCCAAACCCCTTACACACAGAAGAACATTCCTAGAGATTTGGAGATAACATGGACCCCCTCGAGGAGTGTACAGGCATGGTCTTGAAAAAGCATCCACTGCGAGTGCGGGGACTAGGGCCTACCTACTGTAGGACATGCACACACATCCTGCTCTCCGAGAGCGAAAAATTGGATTTGCCTTGCAATCACCACCGCAATACCGAACGCCTTTTTCGGTCGCTGAGAAGGTATCTAGAGTTCGTTCCCATTGCGATTAAGCCATATCGTTTCCTATAATATACACGTAAAAAATAAATACATAAGCAGCTAAGTAGATGAATACATAAATGAATACATGAAATGAATAAATGCATGTATGCGTACTATGGTAGCTTAAGTGCTCTAATAGCAACCCAGCTGAGGGTCTGGGCATCTGTCTGTGGTTCGATGTACGGGCTTATTTGGGGGCATCAAGCCTTCAGATCTCTCAGTAGGCTCCGTTCAGACACGTAGCTTCCATTTATGGGCTGGAATACAGGGTGGTGCCCCCTAGTTCCAAACCTATACTTATCCCCCGTATAAGTTACTTCTCACCCTTATGGGCCCCTCGTTGTACCGCTCAGCATCATTTAAAACATTAACCGAAGTGATTGGCATCTCTAATCTAGGCTTTTAGCTCGCACCGTCTGGACACAAGGAAACGGCTACAGGTAATGCACGCCAAATTGGTAGAGGCACATTGGGACTTATGAGGGGCTACCAGGCTACCATAGGGATCCATGCTTCCGGCCCTCACGAAGCAAACCCTAGACCCTCGACTTTTCAAGAGTACCTCACCCCCTCTGTCCTCATGGCAGCAGCACACGGACGGGTCCGCATTCCAATCTGGGCGTTGAAACGTCGCTAAAACATGCACAAGCAATGGAAAAACAGTGCCGGCTATGAGGAGGAATATTACTCACACACAGGCTGGTTCATTCATGGGCGTTACTCTTGACCCTGTCCGTCCAAAGCACTCACACGCAAGTTCCTCCCAACAATCTTCCTGTCCTTGATAAGATACAACGAAACATTCTGACAGTTGGGGAGCACCACACAAGGAGCAGTTTTTGTCAAGCTCTTACATATGACATGCTTAAAAGGGTGATGCCTGCACACCTCTAGTTACCTCAAAAAGAAGCACATCAACGCTTGAAACCTCCTATTTCTAACGCGATCACGCAGCTGTGGCCCATGCGCCCTGACCAGTAGTAGTCGCCGAAGAAGGACGACTTATCTTGGGCAGCATGCCCCTGGTAGTGCAAATAGTTCCGAAGGAAGGACAACCTCTCAGGTAATTTTCAAAGTCATGATTCAAAATGGGCTTTAGACAGGCAAGTGCTGACTAGCAATCCCTATGGGAGGTGGTGGCTAAGAATTGTCAGCCTCTCATGACCTAAGCCTTAGCAAATTCGGCCTGACATATCGCAACAAGGTTTGCCGAAACCCTGCCATTACCTTGAAGCTTTGAGCCTGTGCCAAGATGCAAAAACAAACATTACGACAGAAAAGCTACAGCCCCAGACGTTGTATTCTATAAAAAGACCCACAGAAACCCCTCCACTCTACCAGCACAAACAAACACCTGCGCCCAACAGCTAAGCCTAACAACGTGGACCCGATGCCAAAGCTAATAGCCCTAAACTCTAAACCCCGAACTGTGAACCAACAATCCTGAAACCCTACGCTATAACGCCTTCAATCCCCCAGACTTCCCGTGAGCGCGACTGAAAATATACAGCAAAAAGACAGATCAAGTAGCACTGAACCTCACCAACCTCCACATATCGACAAATTCGGCGTCCAAACCAAACCTTGAAATATTACAGTCCATCCCTAAACCCCGAAACCAGAAACCCTAAACCCAAGACCTGGAATTCCAGGTTTGGCCCCGAGCAGCCTAAATTCTATGAACCCTATGAAATGAAAACTTACTGGTGGTGTCGTGGTTAGTAGCCAACAAGGGAATGCAACCGTGCCCCCGGTAAGAAATGTCCTGCGCTACCAAGCAATAGACTCAATGTGTACATGAGAGACCATATAGGATATATGCTGCTCTACCGATCCCAAACCCTAAATTTCGGCCAGAGTAGCTTTTGGGCCCTCCACATGACTTGGGCCTGCTTCGGATTCGGGAGCTTCGTCGGGTTGTTGCAGTTCCGTGCCACCTTGGCCGCAATATGAATTATATAGTCTAAGCTCCTAGTATCCCTCTTCATAACATTTCATAACCGCTGTAGCAGTGCCCTATGCAGTTCCCTATATAACCAGTCTATTAAATGTCTTATTGAACCCTGAGGCCCTGAGCACAGGAGAGCCCAAGACTGCACACCCGAAATCGCGGGCCTGTGTCGCAAATCCTGCATGAGGCGGTAATGGGTGGTGCCCTCTAGTTACATATCCATACTTACAAATCGCGTAACTATAACTTATAGCACTTACAACTACTATGCTTCTCCCCATATAAGTTACCTATCTAACCGACATATAACTTATGGCCCCAACATTGATTGTGTAGACAACTTGAAGGCCAAGCCTGATGACACAAGTGGTGACCCAACCCTAAGCCCCCTAGCCCCAAACCCGAAACAGTAAACTTGTCTTTTGGGCTGGGCACGGGGGCTGCTGTATGAGTACACATAAAGCCTTCATTCATGATAAGCCTTACATCGCCTAAGGACAATCTGGCATGGGGAGAGACTCTATTATGGCAGGCTTGGCGTTTAGGGTTTTTGGAGGTAAAGCGGTTATAGAATACTCCCCTTAGTATCAAAACACCATTGCGGCGTACTATATATACCTAGAGCATTGAACCTTAGAGAGGTGGCGGGTGTCAATGATGTTAGGGTGAGAGCACTGAAGATCCTCCGGCGCAGGAACCTTAAGCAAGGGTCCAAGTACCCACAACCATCTACTTCCGCAAAAACCTGTACGTACTACAGTTACTAGTACCAAAAAATCCCAAGTATCTATTATTGAGCACATGGACCCTTAGGGGAAGCCCTTAACCATGACAGGCTGCCTGTAGCCCAGCACTCCACTCACCGATGTAGAGTCTATACCTGGAGATTTCCAAAAAACGGGTGTCCCTCTATGGGGTTCGGCCTGTCCAGGATTGTAGTAATTGGGGGTCTGGATTGGAGCCCGTGTTTCTCGAAAGTACTACCTTGCTGAGGATTCGAGGCGCACATGGGCTGCGTGCAGGGTAGCGTAAAGAGATGGAGTGTCCAATTTGCGCCGGTCGCTGGCCAACTGAGCCCCAATCTGTAGCAGTGGAAAAATGGTCACCACAACACTGTCCATGTGCCGGTGTGATTGCGAGATTATGGCGCATTTGCCGGAGCTATAACGTACTGCATTTCATATGTGGTCATGACCCAAGCGGTTTCGGCCTAAGCCCCTGCTACTCTATCCATAGTATCCCTCTGTCCTAAGCGCTACACCGCATGTCTCATTTTCCTGCACTGTATAAACCCCTGAACCCAAGACGCGATCTAGCTTCTACCCCTTGCATGGAGAAGGCACAACGAAAGATTGAGGACAAAGACGGTAGCTTTTCTGAGGTTGCAAGGCTTAGGGTTTAGGGTTTCAAGTTCGGAGTTCAGGGTTTGGGGCGCAATTTCTTGCGGCTTGGGCGTGGGGCTTAGGGTTACTGGGGCAGGCCTCAAAAGCTAGCTGAATTTCCCAGGAACCGCCAAAAACAAGCCAACCAATAAGTACTCTGAATGTGGCCGGCCTCCCACTCACAAATCCTGCACCATAACCCTTTGTATAAGCCTGAAACCCCTCAACCCTGAAAATCCGAAACGTTATGGCTTCTCAGGCGCCCCTTGTCTAGGAGACCCATCTTCATGTAGCCCGCCCAGGCATGCTGCCTTACTTGCCAGGAGTTTCATCATATTTGCGTAGACTGCGGGGGCTGCCAAGGATTATTCTGACTTTAGCGCAATTGTTGTTTTTTTTGGGAGGGGAGAGGTGGTGATTTAGGAGTTGGGGCTTGGTGTTATTGCCTTTGGAGTCAAGACCGCTCCGTAGTCTCCAACTGGCTGCCTTTGGCAGATGTTTCCACGCATAGTTGCCCTTTAAAAGTCTTTTTTGAGACTTAAGAACGAAGGAGGTCGAAGCTTCTGGGCTGAGTCCCGGCTGAATTACGAACATTGCTACAAACGGGCTTTTGTAGGGCTGAAATCACTCGTGAGTTTGGCTCATACACTTCAATAGCCTAACCATGAACATCTAAAGCTCGACCCACACTAAACTCAACGACAGGGCACCTTGTACCCCCCGAAGAACAGTATAGCTCGTGTCATCAAGACCCATCAAAGGACCCATGGATTTTGAACATCTGAAAACGAGAGCCTACGCACTTGGCTCCAGAGTCGCTCGTACTGATGCGTGGTGTTGGGCACGTTGGCCTGTTCGGGCTTCGGTTTGGGGTTTAGGCTTCGGGTTTGCTGGGGCGCGGGTAGGCTGATCTAGCCACTGAGCTTCGGTTTGGGCCTGTGATACCCAATTCCCCCTCACCATCAACGGCCTAGGAGCACAGGCAACAAGCCAACCAAGCCAAAACCCCTAAGCCAGGCACCGGAATTATTGCGGTATGGGGTACAAGGCATACAAGAGTTTCGATCTCCACCGTAGGCACCACGTACTTTCTTGTTTGCATGCGGAGCGTTTCTGCTGTGCATGGAATATGTGGGCCAAAAGATGTGCTGATGCGTGCTAGCACTTCTTCGTTTCTCGCGATGCCTGGACCGATGCCTGAACATTGCCGTCCATCTGGGTGGCTCTTACGAGAAGGCCAGCAGCATCTTGGAGTGACTGCCCTACCTTGCCTGAAGCCCAGGCAAAGCTGCGACTCGTGCTGCTTCTTGGAAGTAAATCAGTCCACCAGCGTTTATGAAAAAGAAAACCCTTCAAGATAAAGGCTCTTAAATTAAAGAAGTGTAGTCACTTCTCAAAAACAGATTTGGACCATACAGCTCCTGAATCGGCTCCTGATTATAACTTATAACCGCTTCCCAAGAAGAATAAGAATTACTTGCAATCATAAACTGGGCTGCTGTTAAGGAATTTAGATTAAGTTACCATTTTCTGGGTATATAATGAATTATGGGGGGTTCCTCATTATTGTAATTGATAAAAGCTCATTAACACTAACCCAGGAGGCTCTCATGTCAGTACGTCTTCCAACATGTCAAGCCTTCTGAGTACATGGTAGCTTCCCTGCCTCGCACACGCATGGCACGGAGATGTAGCTCTCCTTTCACCGAAAGTATGTTTCGTGGTGGAAGCTTCCTTACTGAACGGGGTCGTACAAAGGGGCGCGTAAGACATGACCAACCGGTCTCGCACGCTTTTTTTTCATGTTCACTGTCCGATTTTCTGAAAACATCTTGATTGTGAGGCTGTGTGATCCAACGCCGATTATGCGTTGCTTGCCTGCTGAAGAACTCTCTCGCTTGATGGCTCTGTTGATATGCGTGGTACGGATTCTCAAAAGAGTTCCTATACGAGCCACAGCCCGCATATATCCTCGAACCCAAATCCTGGAAGGTTGAGAGGACCCCTGCATAATCCCCGCATAATCCCATAATACCTGTATATCAACCTGCTACCAACCTGACCAAGACTTTACCCTGAGCAGCTCAGAGAACCGGAGGCTGAACCATGCTGTGGATACTCCTCGGCTCCATAGACATTGCACATGGCCGGCCAGTTGAAATAGTGGTGGACGTCCAGAAGCCAACGATCCTGAGCGCTGCATCGCATACTTGTAGACTTTAGGACTGCTTTAGGATGTGGGGGTGTCCAACAAGCAGGGCAGTAGGGGTTCCTTTTGGGGACCCTCAGAACAGGGCGTGTATTGTAACAGGATCTATATATTGGCCCCAGTTTATGGCAACCCCTATGTGTCTGCCACAGTTCGTATTCTACAGCAAAGGCCCCCGATGGGATTCACAAGAAGCCTTGCTGAAACAATCTGTACAAACTGCTAGCGCTGGAGGGTAGACGGCCGAAAAAATCATCACAGGAGATCTGCTGCCACAACTCTTTCAGCGGCGAGTAGGGCCCTAGGAGGTCTTCGGACATCGTAGTGGCGTCATAATTCTCGGTGCCGTCGTTGAGGCCGAAAGATACCTGGACTGCTTTCTGTCAGGAATCCGAGGGCCAGTCTCACAACTCCGGCAAGGGGGACATATGTCATTCTGTGGAGTGTAGAGCATGGGCATAGCTGTTTAGGTCTTGTTGGAATCAAGGAGTTAAGGCCTCAAAGCTACTCAAAGAACATTCCAACAAGTTGCGTAGTCGAGGCGCAGCGAGAAACCCTTGAAGGTGAAAAGATGTGAAAAGGTTACCCGTGTGAAAGAATGTATACATGTACACATATCGCATTCGCGAACCACCGCCAGCGCCTCTACTTATGCTATGAGCTCTGCAGCTGAAAACTATGCAGACGATCCGTATGAATTTCGGTTGCCCTAAACCCTGAGCCCCCAAACCGAAATCCTGATAGCTGAGGGCTGAGGGCTGTGCGTCATCCAAGAACTGGGACATGACCGTGGCAAGACCAACCGTGGCGGACCTCACTGCCTGCTCCTGCTTCAGGAAGCATCATGGCTTTCCCTACTCATTCCCCTATGCTTGTGGCCTGTTAGCAATACGCCAAATATCCCTAAACGGGTATAGTAGGGCAACTCCTGAAATCAGCGGACAGGGTTATGTTTCAGAGAATATAAACTTTTGATACGAAAATTGAAGCGAAGGCTGTACTCAGGGGGTCGGCCAATGCTGCCACCTCTCCCACTCAGCTTTGCTGAAGTTCAATATGCCAAAACTGAAGATCACCTCCAAATGGTGGGAACATGTGGGAAGGACACATTGATAGGCCCACAGCCCATCGAACTCTGAAACTCTAAGCCCAGTGGGCTTCGAAAGTTCTGGAAAACCGTAAGCACTAATGCTCCTTGGCGTCGTGTTGCATCAGGTCCGGCTCCTCAAGTGACGTGATCTCCTACCCTGATATGGGGGTTCTGAACATGGGATGCCCTTAAGGACCGTGTAGGGTTTAGGACTCATGGTTTCGGGTTTGAAGCTTAGGGTTTCGGGTCTAGGTCTTATAGGGTGTAGGAACATAAGGAAATTGTAAGCCGATCCGATTCTGGAATAATTTGGGGAGGATCTTGAGAAACTCCAAAGTTGAACACTTTGTGTCTTTGAATTGCTGGTCCTTGGAACAATGTCACTAGGGGGCGGCACTTTATTCAGCTGAAGCAACTTGCAAGCATGATCACAAAGGACACAGAGCCATTACATGGTCTTCAGTCAGTTCAAGAAGGTGCGAGATTGGAAGCCTGGGCTTTTAAACATCTTCCAATGTGCAGCCCTACGCCAATAGACTGGAAGTACCGTCCCAGTTTTGCTTCAAGTTTCCATTTGATTTTCCATGGTTATCATTATGATCATTATTACTATTCTGGTGTCGTCTCAGCTTCAGCATCCACCTGTCCAAGTCCAGCATGCCAACACCAACAAGTTCTGTTGTTAGTCAGCCAGGTCTCGTTCATAACCTCATAAGCAAAGATTGCTCCAGGCATGAGGCCATTGATGAACCTCGGAGGGCTCTCAGAGAAGTAGATGTAGGGGCTGTAGGATTCAGGGTTATTCTTTAGGATTCAGTGTCATTGTCGGGACTTTGACAGGGTTAGGGGTCGACGAATTTTCGTGGCATTGGAGGGGCCACTAGCCTGACTCAGCCGACTGCAAGGACCGTGGTGACCCTGCGCTTGGCTGTACCGTTCCCAACCCCCCAGCCCCCTCATCCAGTCACCCCTCGCCTCACCCAACCACACTCTGGACTTGGGATTGAAGGGGTTGGGATTTCAGATAGACCGGCGGTGCTCAATCGGTGCACGCGGGTGCCTCACCCCATTATCCCGCTAAGCTCGCCACCGGCCGTGGTTGCACGCAGCCGGAGAATTCTGAAATTCATTCAAAAAGTCAAAAAGCCAAAAAGTCAAAAAGTTTCAATTTTCGCAAAAAGTTGCACTTTTCGACTTTTCGGGCAATGTTCTCACTT